TGAGAGAAGTGCCCAACAAGTGACGCGGCCATTGTCTTGGATTGTCACCAAGTCTCGGAGATATCAAGTGGGTCGAGATTTGGATTTTTTTTTGTTTTATTTTGGGATTTTTGTTTGTTTTCCGTCCTGGCTACTAAAATGCTGTAATTTACAGCATTTTCTCGCGAACCGTCAACATCATCAGCATCGTTTTCAACATCCCCCGCATGTCCAGCCAACATCCCCAGCATCACCAGCAAATTGGCTTCCTGCATCCCACGGTAAAAGTGAGGATTCAATTTACACCTAAAACGTGGGCAGCCCCCCGCATGATGATTGAAGAAGTGATGATTCAAAAAGCGCCAAAACAAATACATATTTATATAAAAAATAAAAAATAAAAAAAAACAAAAAACAGTGGGGGGGGGTCAGTTCCTCTGCGGCAAGGCCTCATGGTACAAGTGAGGATTCAAATACGGGCAAACTAATCCCTGCAAAACACTTAAAACGTAGATAGGGCCAAAAAAATATTAAAAAAGCAGCGGGGGGGTCATCAGTTCCTCTGCGGCAAGGCCTCATGGTACAAGTGAGGATTCAAATACGGGCAAACTAATCCCTGTAGATCGAAAAAGTGATGATTCAATCAGGGGCAAAAAGTCTAAAAAATAGCGGGGGGGTTGGGGGGGGCGGCAGCCCCCCCCATGATGATCGAAAAATTAAGGGCAAAGAATCTAAAAAGTAGCGGTCGCATGATGATCGAAAAAGTGATGATTCAATTAGGGGCAAAAAGTCCAACAAATAGCGGGGGGGTGGGGGGGGGGCGGCAGCCCCCCCCATGATGATTGAAGAAGTGATGATTCAAAAAGGGCCAACAAATATTTTAAAAAAAATTAGCCGGGGGTCATCAGTTCCTCTGCGGCAAGGCCTCATGGTACAAGTGAGGATTCAAACACGGGCAAACTAATCCCTGTAAAACACCTAAAACGTAGCGGGGGGGGGGGGGCAATTCCCTCCATGATGATTGAAAAAAGTGATGATTCAATTAAAGGCGCGGGGGGGGGGGGGGGTTGGGGGGGGGGCGGCAGCCCAAGATGATCGAAAAATTAGGGGCAAAGAATCTAAAAAGTAGCGGTCGCATGATGATCGAAAAAAGTGATGATTCAATTAGGGGCAAAAAGTCCAAAAAATCGCGGGGGGGTTGGGGGGGGCGGCAGCCCCCCCCCATGATGATTGAAAAAGTGATGATTCAATTAGGGCCAAAAATATATATATATATATATATGAGGAGCGGACGAAACACCTTGCTTGGCCCTAGTACTTTTTTGAACGTTATCGTTTTTGGGGGAGACCTTATCGTTTTACAGTGTTTTCGACCTTTGGCAAATGCGGCTCGAAAATCGCAGCTTTGTAGTACAACTCTAGTACGAGAAGTACACTTCCGTAGCTCCAGCTCGAAAATCGCAACTTTGTAGTACAAGTCTAGTACGCGAAGTACACTTCCGCAGCTCCAGCTCGAAAGTCGCATCTTTGTAGTACAAGTCTAGTACGCGAAGTACACTTCCGCAGCTCCAGGTCGAAAATCGCAACTTTGTAGTACAAGTCTAGTACGGGAGGTACACTTCCATCTCCAGCTCGAAAATCGCAACTTTGTAGTGCAAGTCTAGCACGCGAAGTACACTTCCGCATCTCCAGCTCGAAAGTTGCATCTTTGTAGTACACGTCTAGTACGCGAAGTACACTTCCACAGCTCCAGCTCGAAAATCGCAACTTTGTAGTACAAGTCTAGTACGGGAAGTACACTTCCGCAGCTTCAGCTCGAAAATCGCAACTTTGTAGTACAAGTCTAGTACACGAAGTACACTTCTGCATCTCCAGCTCGAAAGTCGCATCTTTGTAGTACAAGTCTAGTACGCGAAGTACACTTCCGCAGCTCCAGCTCGAAAATCGCAACTTTGTAGTACAAGTCTAGTACGCGAAGTACACTTCCGCAGCTCCAGCTCGAAAATCGCAACTTTGTAGTACAAGTCTAGTACGGGAAGTACACTTCCGCAGCTCCACAGCTCCAGCTAAAGTCTCCTTTGTAGTCCACTCGTCTAGTACGCGAAGACACTTCCGCAGCTTCCAGCTCGTACAAGTCTAGTAGTACACTTCCGCATCTCCAGCTCGAAAGTCGCAACTTTGTAGTACAAGTCTAGTACGCGAAGTACACTTCCGCAGCTCCAGCTCGAAAATCGCAACTTTGTAGTACAAGTCTAGTACGCGAAGTACACTTCCGCAGCTCCAGCTCGAAAATCGCAACTTTGTAGTACAAGTCTAGTACACGAAGTACACTTCTGCATCTCCAGCTCGAAAGTCGCATCTTTGTAGTACAAGTCTAGTACGCGAAGTACACTTCCGCAGCTCCAGCTCGAAAATCGCAACTTTGTAGTACAAGTCTAGTACGCGAAGTACACTTCCGCAGCTCCAGCTCGAAAATCGCAACTTTGTAGTACAAGTCTAGTACGCGAAGTACACTTCCGCAGCTCCAGCTCGAAAGTCGCATCTTTGTAGTACAAGTCTAGTACGGAAGTACACTTCCGCAGCTCCAGCTCGAAAATCGCAACTTTGTAGTACAAGTCTAGTACGCGAAGTACACTTCCGCATCTCCAGCTCGAAAATCGCAACTTTGTAGTACAAGTCTAGTACGCGAAGTACACTTCCGCAGCTCCAGCTCGAAAATCGCAACTTTGTAGTACAAGTCTAGTACGCGAAGTACACTTCCGCATCTCCAGCTCGAAAATCGCAACTTTGTAGTCGAAGTACACTTCCGCAGCTCCAGCTCGAAAATCGAACTTTGTAGTACAAGTCTAGTACGCGAAGTACACTTCCGCAGCTCCAGCTCGAAAATCGCAACTTTGTAGTACAAGTCTAGTACGCGAAGTACACTTCCGCAGCTCCAGCTCGAAAATCGCAACTTTGTAGTACAAGTCTAGTACGCGAAGTACACTTCCGCAGCTCCAGCTCGAAAATCGCAACTTTGTAGTACAAGTCTAGTACGCGAAGTACACTTCCGCAGCTCCAGCTCGAAAATCGCAACTTTGTAGTACAAGTCTAGTCGCGAAGTACACTTCGCAGCTCCAGCTCGAAAGTCGCAACTTTGTAGTACAAGTCTAGTACGCGAAGTACACTTCCGCAGCTCCAGCTCGAAAATCGCAACTTCTCAGTACAAGTGTCGTATTTACGAAGCACACCTTGGCAGCTCCAGCTCGAAAGTGGCGACTCGCCTTCTCGTTTTACGGTGGCCAACGCAAGGGTCCCACCCTAACTAAGTTGCAACTGCAGGGGTTATTATAGTGTTAGCTAAGGGTTATCGTTTTTGGGGGAGACCTTATCGTTTTCCATGGTTTTGGCATGTGTTATGCAAAAACGTACCCCGCCTTGATAAAGTGGTCTTCGTGTGTTTTGTCCGTGGCTCATATATATATATATAAAAAAAAAACAGCAGGGGGGTCATCAGTTCCTCTGCGGCAAGGCCTCATGGTACAAGTGAGGATTCAAATACGGGCAAACTAATCCCTGTAAAACGGAAGACCCCCCCCCATGATGATCGAAAAAAATAGGGGCAAAGAATCTAAAAAGTAGCTGTCGCATGATGATCGAAAAAGTGATGATTCAATTAGGCGTGCATTTTAATCGAAAGGGGGGTGGCGGGGGGCCCAGAGAGGAACTTGCGATGCTGAGGATGCAGGAAGCCAAGGCCAAAAACCAACTGGGAAAGCATCAGGATGCGAAAAGCCAAAGCCAGAAAGCCGCCAAAAGCCAAAACGCCAAAACGCCAAAAAGCCAAAAAGCAAAAAAGCCAAAAAGCCGCAGCGGAACTGGCAATGCAGAGGATGCGAAAAGAGAGGAACTGTGAATGCAGATGATGCGAAATGAAAAGCCACAAAAGCCACAAAAACCCACGTAAAAGCCACAAAAGCCGAAAAGCCACCGACCCTGAAAAACAAAAATAATTCCTAAAAAAAAATGAAAAAAATCCTAAAAAAATGGCCCTCCATATCAAGTCCCTACCGCCTTCTCCGGAGTTGGGTTGAAGCTGAGCCCATGGCTTCTGTTTTAACTGGGCAGTCATAAGATGTTCTTCACTGGGCTTCCCTCAGATCCCCCGCTAAAAAGTATAATATTTTGTGGGTTAAATGGATTGTGTTTTTCACCAAACACTAAAAGCTAAGGAATCGGATGGCTGGGAGCCACCCAGTTCAGAGGAGGTAAATGGTGTCGACTGGTGTTGACTCCAGCGGAATGTGAGCCTCGGAAGCTAGACTCACTTCTGAGTGGGCCAAACAAAGTCCGAACTTGTTGTTTGCCACCCAAATGCCCCACCCAAAAAGCATATGTAAAGTCCTGAACCTCAGGGAGCGAGATAATCCCGTGGAAACCTCCCCATGCGACGTGAGGTTTCCATCGCGTCGGAGATATCCAAGCAAGGCTCAGTCCAGGTTTTTCGCGGTCAGAGGTCGCGACGGGTCGCCGGTCCTGCGGCAAACTGGACCGCCAACTGGATCTTACCACCAATTGACATGGAACCTGACAAAGGGATCCTGGAAGACCATTTTGCTGAAGGGGTCCTCTGTTGGGTTCCATGTAAATTGGCGGGAGGGTATCCGAATTTGGAAAGACTTGGGTTTCTAAGGTCCAAATAGGGTGGGGTTCGCTCGTTTTACCCTCCAATCGGTGAGCACGTCATAGAGCAGGCGCCTCTCAAGATAGCGGACCCCCAAAAAAAGGCCGCTTCCTTTAGGTGTTCTGTTCAAAATAATCTAAGTCCTCCAGTAGAGAGGCTAGAATAAGGGTACCGGATGTTTGATTCTGTCTATTTTAGTAGGGGAACCCTCCCAACCAAAAAAGTTGGTAGAGAAGGGCACCTAGCTGGGGGACCTAGTAATCAAAAGGGTACCGGCACCACGAGTCCAGCTACACGGAGAATCCGCTGTCCGTGGCTCCTCACGCCTCCTCACCCGAGCCGCCGTTGGACCCATCGCTCAAAAGCCCTCACTGCTCGAGCCGCCGTCCGTGGTGGACCCCTCCTGGCGAAACCCGTGGAATTCGGACGAAGGGACCTGAGCGAATGTCCCACTCAACCCAGGGCGCCTGTTCGAGCTTCCGAAGAAATTGGGTTCCAACCACCAAAAGAGAGAGAGAGAGAGAGAGAGGTGTGCACTGAATGTTTAAATGCTGAACGGGGAATCCCTACTGATGCAATTGGGCGTGCCATAATGATGTTGACCCCATATTAATCAACCCCATTTTATTGATAGGGGGTGTTCCCCTCCAAAAGTGATGATTCCCCACACGAATGAACTGGGGTTGAACAATACGGGGTCAACATTATCCAAATGGGTGTGCAAAAATACCCAAACGTAGTGTTCCTGTTGGTTTGCTTCCTTTGATCCACACACTGGGCCACCTTTACATCCAAGAAACACACGCCGAACCATACCCTAGCGTGGTTTCCCCGCAAAGCTGGGCCGTTATTCATGATGCGCCCAGAGAATCTGAGCGACCTGCAAAGAAGAGAAGGACGCCCAAAAACAACCACAAGCCATGTGAGTCAGATCCAATACCAAAAAAATGGTGCACTCAAAAAATAATCAAGAGCGGATCTCACCTCCGCACCTATTTCTGGCGACTGACTCCTAACCTTTGCTTGCCTGGGTGTTGAATTATGCCTCATTTTAATCACCCCTTCTGTGATATCGCCGTCCCGCCTCTGTAAGTATCACTTTAACTTCAAGGTGTGTAGAAACTGGCGTTAGAACCATCCACAACCATGCGGAGGGTTCGGCCCCTTGTTGCTAAGGAGAAACCCCCAGGAAAGCCGCCTTAGGAGACGGTTTTGAGAAACACCCAGGTGCGTAATCTCCACTCCACAGCTCGACACTCGGGACGGAGCGCGCCTCGTCATACTTCTTGCGGCGGAAGAGGTCCGGGATCTGTTCCAAAGGCACACCCTTGGTCTCCTGAAGAGAGAGGGGTCCGTTTCACCCCCCTTTCTACCCCCTTTTAGAAACCGGATGCCCCTTACGTTTCATCTCACCGAAATGTGCCCTTTGAGGCCTTCCCCAGCTGGACGAGTCAGAGATGCAACAAAATCATGTGTACCCTGGTTTAACGAATCCATTCGACTAATAAAAGGTGTCTCCCACCAAAGTGAAGGATTCCCACTCAAGGGGAGACTCCCCCCACTAGTCAACCAGGGGTTTCTGAGTCCGGAATTAACGCTACAAAGCCCCAACAATGCCACAAGGATTGGCGGATTTGCCCCCTAGCTGTCGCTGTTGGGGGCCCACCTCTTTGTGCGCCTGTCCTTAATGTAGGCAAAGACGAAGAATGCGTTCCTTGGCTGCGAGCTCATTCTAGGGCAGCGGGATGATCTTCTTTCTGGAGTTCCCAACACCAACTGCAAATAGTCAGATGTTCCCCACTTCTTAACTGACTTGACTAAATCTTTGGTGGCTCAAAATTAAGGAGCTACACTTCCGCGGGTTTCACTTTTTGGTTCCATTTACCAAGCTGGCCATTTTGGTACCGGTCTTTTGAGCCACAGCCCTTTGCGGCCCAAGAGCTTGGAGAGTGAGCTTCCCTTCAATGGGGACCAGCTGGTTGTCTCAACACATACCCAACTGTTCAAAAGGAAGTTGATCCTCCAAGTCCAGGCTCCCTAAGCAACAGGGATACACCTGAACATTGCCTTGTAAATGGTGGTCTTCCTTTATTTTGGTGGAAAAAGCAATGTTTCAAATGGGCAAAATGTATCTTTTAAGGAGCCCTGAGCAATTTGCTGGGTATAAAAGAAGTGCCCCAAGCAATCAAGAGAAACCCGTCCCAGATCCCATTTGTGGTTCTAACAAATGTCCATTCGCACTGAAAAGACTGGCTCGTCTTGGGTGTTCCTCAAAGTAGGAAACAGGAACACCCAGTTGTTTCTTGTTTTTCTGTTGGCTTTGAAAACCCCCCAAAGCGGGCCCATGTTCATTGCGAAACCGCCGGCCCCCTACTTAAAATGCATCATGGAATCGATGGGACAGGCACTTTCCTCAGTAAGTCTCAGATGCCCAGTGGCCATGGGAAAAAAAAGGGCATCCCTTTTGGTTGGTTCCACAACATTGCTCAAGACCCCCCCCCAATTGGAGTGAGTGGAGCCCACATCCCGGCCGAAGAAAAACAATTGGTTGACCTTAAGGGAATCGGAACCCTATCCGAACACAAAATACACCTGAACATTGCCTTGTCAATGGTGGTCTCCCCTTATTTTGGTGTTGAAAAAGCAACATGTTTCAAATGGTTGCAACATGGAGATCTTTTAAGGAGCCCTGTTGAAGCAAAGGGGGCGAAATCCACTGGGAAGCTGAGGTGTTGCGCCGCGGGTCAAAATATTCAGCACCGCGAAGACCAGCAGAGTGCCTGGAGTGGACCATTTCCTGGGTCGGGCGTGCGGTTTGGAAGGCCCTTCGGCTACAAAAGGATACCAAATGGAAAGGACAGGTGTGTCTTTTTGTGGCCTGCTATCCGCCGACAACAGGCGGCGCCGTTGGACATAAGAAATGCTCCTTACCTCTCCACCTGTTGCCCCTCCCCTTGCCCCTCCCCAGGGGCACTATTGCGGGGATCCACGTACCACGCGCTGATTCCCACTAAATCCTTTCTTCTGGGCTTGTGCGGAACACAGCTGCGCAAAAAACATTGGGGTGTTCTCTCCAGGTCCGTTTTTGCATCCTTAGGACATCGCCAGCATCACCTGCATCATCCGCATCAGCGCCTGCCAGGGATGCGGATGATGCAAGTGATGCTGGGGATGTTGCCCATGCTGGTGAAGGAACATCTGGACATGAAGGGAAATGCATGGAAATAAATGACATGAAATGAAATGAAAGAAAGGGAACAAAAACAGACATAAAGGGACATGAACCGAAGTGAAGGAAAGTGAAGGGAAATGAAGATCTTCGAGGAAAGGAGGGAAACAATTTACAGGGGGAACTGGGGAGAAGATCGGGGGGGGGGGGGGGGGGGAAGGGAAAGATCTTGGGGACCAAGGCCTCAGGGGGGAAAGGGGAGAATGGATCTCAACCGGGAAAGGGGGAAAGAAGATCTCAGAAATGGAAAGGGGGGAAAGGATCTCGTGGCAAAAGATCTTAGGGAGGAAAAGAGAGAAGATCTCAGGGGGGGAAAGGCCTTAGGGGGGAAAGGGGGGAAAGAGGGAAAGGGGGGAAAGATCTTAGGGAGGAAACGGAGAAGATCTGGGGGGAAAAGGCCTTAGAGAATCGCAACCGGAAAAGAGGGGAAGGATCTTCGGGAGGAAAAGGGAGAAGATCTCAGGGGGGAAAGGCCTTACGGGGGAAGGGGGGAAAGGATCTCAACAGGGAAAGGTGGGAGAAGATCTTAGGGAGGAAAAGGGAGAAGATCTGGAAAGGCCTTAGGGGGAAGGGGGGAAAGGATCTCAACAAGAAAGGGAGAAAAGATCCTAGGGAGGAAAAGGGAGAAGATCTCAGGGTGGGAAAAGGCCTTAGGGGGGACAGGGGGGAAAGGATCTCAAGAGGGAAAGGTGGGAAAAGATCCCAGGGAGGAAAAGGGAGAAGATCTCAGGGGGAAAAGGCCTTTGGGGGGAAAGGGGGGAAAGGATCTCAACAGGGAAAGGGGGGAAAACATCTTAGGGAGGAAAAGGGAGAAGATCTCAGGGGGGGAAAAGGCCTTAGGGGGGATCTCAACAGGGAAAGGGGGGCAAAGATCTTAGAGGGGAAGGGGGGCAAGGGGACAATTCCAAAGGGACGCAAATAAGAAAGCAGGCCTGAGCCGGAGGCGTTAAAATAAACTTGGTTGCTCTTGACCCCCCTGCAAAAAGTTCAACTTTTGGGGGGGTTTAGTGGAAAACATCATTATTTCAACCAAAAAGTTAAAGTCTAAAGATCCGTTGCCCAATAGCAGTCAAGTAAAGAGAACCCCGCCAAGAGGCTGAAATCTCTCACTTGCCCAAAGGACCTAGCGAAATCTTCAGCTGGAACCTGAACTCGACCCTGAGGAAAGCACAAGGTCGTTTGAAAGTGGGTCAAAATTAAACCACCGGACCCCAGGTTTTAATCCTGGGTTCCATTCACCAGGGTTCCATTTTGGGTACCCATTGTTTTCCCACAGCCATTTCTAAGTCTTGAGCTGAGAACATGCCGGTGAAGTTTCGAACAGCCCAAAGCGCTTCATGGCCACACAAGTCGAACTGGCTTGTCAAAAGGGTTAGACAAAAAGGGTCCAACCCCCTCGCATTCTCCGCAGCCAACCGAACAGTATCTCTTATGATTCTGGTCCAAATTTGTCTAACCTCAAAATGTAGCATGTCGTGAACAGTGTTGTTGCGTTGGTACTTGTTGGTGGTTTTGGACAATGGGCTCACCCAACTTGGTCGCACCAGAGGGCAGTCTAACACGCCATCGCCAATGATTTTCTGGTCGGATGGGTTGGTCAAAGCAAGCAGCCTCACCAAACTTGTCATGTTGTGGTACAAGCCACGTGGCTACTTTTCAACGAGGGACCCCTCAATTTGTCTTGATGGAAATAAGGTCCGGTACAATTGATGTCGGACCCAAGGGCCCCGTCCGACCCATGTCCGCGGTATGATCATCCCAAAGATGTCATTTGGGCCGCCCAAGAAAAAACGGTACGGTGCGGTTTGGACTCTTCACACCCGCTGCATCTCTGACAAACACATGCTCTGCCTTCCAGGGCGGAGTCTTCCCCCTAAGATGGACAATTGCGAATTTCAAATGGACTTCCAGCCCCAACTCCACTTTTCAGGGACGAAGTGTGACCCTTAAAATTCACCCTTAACCCAAGGCAAGTGCAGCAGGCGAATGCCAAAACCATTGCTTCCAGGCATCATCAAAGTGGGCGTGATGTAGATGATCACCGCCTTCAGCCCAGCCATAGGCGGCAAGGCCCCAAGTTTTTGGGCGGGTGGATGGTTTTAAAGGGATCCCTGGCCAACCAAAAGCAAACGGCTGGGCAACCGGGAGCAAAGTGGCGGTGTTGTGTTGTTGTTCCTCTAAAACCACACCAAACAAGGTACCATCAAAAAAAGGCACACCCAAGTAGGAAAAAACACGATTTTTAAAATCGAAGGGTATGTGTCAAAAAAAACGGTGATCCTCAAACGGTGATGTGCCCTGTTGTTTCCCTTTCAGCCAACCCGCTAAGCACGCTACCTCTTCAAAAACGCACACTGAATTAAATTCCCAGAGATGATCATGTGGCCATGGCACAAAAGGCACTGGCCTTGGGACCAGTTGCTGGCCGACGGGACCACCCCGCCTTCTTGGAACCGCCTGGAACGCCCGTGCATGCCACCCCATACGTCCCCCGAACCGCCGCCCTCCCAGCCCGGGCAAAGACCCCATAGCTTTCAGCTGTTGGGAGAACCACCAAACAAAACATTAAGACTTGGTGTCCGCGTACCTAAGGACAGATCTGCCAAAGGCCGAACAAAGGCCGCCCCACAGCCAAGGACAGGTACGCAGCGTGCTTATGTACGGGCAAAATGTTGGCGGCACCGGGTGGCAGCGTGTTCCTAAGGTGTCCTGAGGTGTGCTAACGTGGCCTACGTGCCATCGTCCTTAGGTATGAGCGCACCTTTGGTATAAGCACTTTCCCGCAGAGATACGCTCTAAGGCGAAGCGTTGAAGGAGTATCTCACACAGCCGGACGCCCTTGACAGGCGCGGCCGGATCTTTAACAACTCTGAACCAACATCAAACCATGTTTTCCCTCTAAACCAACCCAACCAACCAAAGCTCAACAAAACGACAGACATTTCCAGATCGCCAGATCAATGCGAGCGAGCCGCGTTGGCGATGTAGTTGAAACCCACGGCCAGCGACACCGCGGACTCCTCGTGAGTCGTGTATTAAGGTTGGACCCCAGAATGGCTTCGGTTTTGCTTTTGGCTTCCTTTTAAACCCACCCCAAAAAGGGGTATCATCGAAAAAGACACCCGCGAAAGCCCTCTTCGAACTCGGCAAGCTTGCAGTTCCATATGGGTTGACATCAAAATTCGGTGGGAGTTCACGTCCACAAGTAAGGCGGCTCCAACTCTTAACAAATCACAGCGATGTTTCTTTCCCCCCGTAAACATCACCCCGAGAGGAAACACGACTATTGGTCCAAAAAATGATGCTTCAACTAGCTCGTACACAGAGACATAACAAGGACCCTGTCGCTTTACCCCAAAGCCCCGAAACCTGCACAGGGTCTATTCCCCCACCACATGCGCGCGAATTTGCTCGCGCATAGTTCTTTCTCTTGTCGTCTGTCTCAGAGAGCTTTTCCGATCCGCGGAAGTTCTTTCTAAAGTCGATAATTCTACGTTGGAGATCTCGGGCCATGTTCGGACCACATTCGCATACTTGTTGCTTCATGATTTTGCGTGGCTGCCGCAACGCTTTCGCAAGGTTGGGTACATATTTCATGGCAAGAGCGTCGCTTTCGCTCGGTCAGGTACAGACTTGTGGCAGGCGCAACACTTTTGCAAGGTCAAGCGCAGATTTTGTGGCAAGCGCGGCACTTTCGCAAGGTGAAGTACAGATCTCGTGGCGTGCGCATCACTTTTGCACGATCATGCACAAATTCATGGCAAGCGCAACACTTTCAAGGCTATGTGCAAATTGTGTGGCAGGCCCAGGCCTTTCACAAGGTCAAGCGCAGATTTCATGGCCGGCGCTGAACTTTTGCAAGATAAAAAGAAGATAGATAGAGACGATGGAAGGATAATAAGAAATAAAGAAACACATATTATAGGTAGTCGGCTATTTTTTTAGAGAGAGAGAGAGAGAAATCAGCAATTAGATAAATAGAAAGATAGAGAGATGGAATGCATAGATCAAACACATCAGAATAGGTGGATGCATGGATGGATGATGGATGGATTGATGGATGTCGTGAGTCGACGGATGGATAGGCAGATAGATATAGCAAAACAAACAACGGGCAGTAGGTCGGTAGGTAGGCAGGCAGGTAGGTAGACAAATACAGATACATAATGTAGATAGATTGACAAACATATTGATTCATTGATTGATTGATTGATTGATTGATTGATTGATTGATTGATTGATTGATTGATTGATTGATTGATTTATTGATAGGTAGATAGATTTATAGCTATACATATAGATAGATAGATAGATAGATAGATAGATAGATAGATAGATAGATAGATAGATAGATAGATAGGTAGATAGATAGATAGATGTATGGATGGATAGATAGTATATATATATATACATAGACAGATAGATAGGTAGGTAGGTCGGTACAAAGACTAGATGAACAGGCATACAATCGGACAAACAAACAGACAGACAGACAGACAGACAGGCAGGCAGGCAGGCAGACAAACAGAGAGAGAGAGAGAGAGAGAGAGAGAGAGTGATAGATAGATAGAAAGATAGATAGACAGACAGATAGACGGACGGACGGATAAATATATAAGAGAGAAAGAGAGAGAGAGAGAGAGGTAGAGACAACAAACATGAAGAGAAAGATAAAGATAAAGCGAGGGTGAAACAGAAATATGTACAAGAGAATGAAAGACAAATAGAAAGCGAAATACAATTGGAAAGATACAGGAAACACAAGAGACAATGAAAGACACAGAGAGTGAGAGAGAGAGAGAGACGGAGAGAGCGAGAGAGACGGAGAGAGCGAGAGAGGGAAGAAGTGCAAGACAACTATTTAAGATAAAGAGAAAGAGCAATATACAGACAACAGGGATCCTTACATTATACACCTGAACATTGCCTTGTAAATGGTGGTGTCCCTTTATTTTGGTGGAAAAAGCCATGTTTCAAATGGGCAAAATGTATCTTTTAAGGAGCCCTGGACAAATATCAAGATAAAGAGAAAGAGGAAGAGCTACGTAGCTATGACTGTGATTCTTGTATTGTTGGTACTTCCGCCGGCTTTGCCGGCCCTCCTGGGGTATGTATTTTATCGGGGAACATACACCTATATGTGAATAATGCCCACCGCACTCATGTAAACACACACACACAGATACCCATGTGGGTTTGTCTCCGATTAAAACCCACCCATCAAGGGTACCCTCACAAACGACATGCTCATACAAAGTTGATATTGGTCTCCAAAAGGAAAAGGAACCCCAAAAACGGGGTTGTGTTTTAGTATCCGTTTCAATCGATCCCAAGAAGAAAACCAACACACAATCATATAGCCAGGGTCAAAACTATTCGTTCACCCGAAAGGACATGAGGCATTTGCAGCTCGTCCCCTGGTTTTTGTCGGAACAAATGGAGCTCGTCTTACGTGTCCACCGAACGCCCGATCCTTCTCCGCCATTGAGAAGATCTCCTGAGCGACACACTCCGAGCGGCCTCTCCTTGGCCCTTCACCAAAATTTGACCCTCGTTCTGGGCGTGTCTGTTTTTGTTTGGGGTACCCTTGGTTTGGGGTTGGTTTGAAGGGGGAACAAAAGGGCAACCACCATCTTTAGGCAAAAATAGCTGGGTATTCAAGCGACTCCGAAATTAATCTGGTGGTAAGGGAGACTGTCCCTGCAAGAAACCCTCACGTCCCTCTCAGAAGCCCAGCCACAAAACAAAAGAAGGCCACCCCCATGCACCCGTTGGCACTTGCTTTTAAAGACAAAGCTTCCCAAAGAAAGGATCAACCACCGGGTGTCGGTGTGCCTGTGCGCACTTTCGGAGTGCTTTCGCATGATTTAAGTCCGAACCGGTTGAACTGGACCCCAACAGAAGGCCTCAATGTCTGAAGATGGTCGCCAGAATGCTCAAGACATGAAGTTCTAACGGTTTTTCAACCTGTGGTGTTCGCTACAGCCACTTCGGCCAACAGCCACTGCAAAAGAAAGGAAACGTTTTCAACCCTGGGGCCAGGAAGTGGATTCATGGCGGAAGCCTTCGTCCAGCATGGCAAGGTGTGCCATAAACAGGAACAAAACTATAATAAGACTCATTTGACCAAGAATGTGCTTCCATGAACAACCAGGTTGTTCAGAAAATGCAAACTAAAGAGCGATCGCTTGGGAGAAGGGCTGCAGCAAACAGCTCCAGATGAATCGAAGTGGGCTTCCCTTAAAGTGGGTGCGGGCAAATTCCAAGGCTTGAAAGCATGGAGCGCGTGCTCGATATGAGAGGACCTCTAAGCTTGCCCTAAACAAGTTTGGCTGATTCGCCCCTCTTCGAACATGCGTATGTTCAGCTCAAAGCAGAGTTGTTGTCAAGATGAAGGACCTACCAAACACCCCTTCGGGTTTGGATTTCCCCTTCAGAATCCAAAGGACCTGGAAGAGCTAAGCAACTTTCGGGCATAGCCTTGCGATAGAAACAGATCCCCCAAATCTCGGTATCGTCAAATCTCGAACGTGTGGAAACAACTGAGCTAAAAAACTTATGTTTTCCAGCCCCTCCACTAAAAGTAAGTTAATTACATGTGACTTGCAAGACGGCATCGTGTTCAAACTAGGTCTTGTGCATGTTGTCTTCCTTCAAAGCAGAATCGGACAAACCCTTCAACTTCAACCCCCAACAAAAAGTTGCCAGAAAAGACACACACAACACCACGGACGGCAGTCCGGCCGCAAAAAAGGCATCAGGTTTTGGGGTGAATTCGGACATTCCATTCAACCCTTGGATTCGGGCAAAATGGGGGTTGAATGGTTGAATCGACCTCACCTAAACAGGTTGCCAAAGGGGGAGGGGTCTGGAAAAAAGTCACCCCCCAACTTAGTTTGCTTTTGGCAAAAACAACAGTTCCCACCACCTCCACATCAGCAAAGGGCGGCCCGGACATCCTTAAAGGGCACTTTGGGCCATTGGAAGGCACTGAAAGAAGAGGTCTCGCTACTTGCCTCTAGTGAGCCCAACCTGGGCCCTCTCTTACCCCACAAGGCTGCGAAGAGTTGGAACCGCTTCCGAAATCTTGCCTGGCTAGAACAAGCGCAACCCTGCAAACGGGAGAACGTGACCATGTCTGAGAGGGAACGCTGGCTGAACAGAAAAGGGAATCAACCGAAAAAGTGAAGGCCCACATTACACCCAATGCCCACTTTTAGAAAGGATGTGATGTGTACCCTGGCAAGGATTAAGCTTTCAGCATGGAAAACCCCAGCTTTTCAAGATATACCGCCTAAAGCCCATGGGCAACCCGTGGCTTGCCAACATATACCCACTGACCGTGGGGCATTTGGCGATGGCCGAGAACTCGGGGATCTTTTCGCGTCGAGGTGCTGCAGGGTAGATCCAGGGGATGGTGCCCCAAGCGAACTGGAAGCCGACGCCATAAATGATCACGCAGGTCATGGTGATGAGCCCTGGCAGCCACTGCCCTCAAACTCCCCTCATCTGATGGGTCAAAATTAAACCAGTGGATAGGTTTTAGTCCGTGGCTCCATTTACCAG